AGAATTTGTTTAATATTATGACCTGATTTTTCCTTGCTATAAATAAATACAAATACAAAAAATATAATAAATAGATGCCTCCAGTTCTGATGATAAATGAGAGATGCTAGAATAGGGGTCTTTGTTAAAGCATGTGCTTAGCTACTGAGGACTCAGTCCAGCAAGGTGCTGAGTGAGCATGCTGTCACTGATTCAGCAAAGCACTTAGCTCATGCTTAACTTTGAGCAACTGAATAGTCTTATAGGATAATCATGTAGGTACTTAGGTGTTTTGCTGTACTGAGGTCAATTTGAGACTACTTGGGTGCTTAAAGTTAAGGATGTGCTTAAACTGCTTTTTGGATCAGGGCCAATGTACTCAGTCCCCTGCAGGACTAAGCCCTAGTGTCTGGAAATTTTTGTTTTTAAACTATGTTTATCTGTATAAACGGTAAGGATTAGGATAACTTTGGTCTTCTATAGATTGTAAGCGCTTTGAGGCCTGGTTCCTCTCCTCTTTTTTTAAGCAGATGTAAATTAATGGTGTTATATAATGAATAATAATAATTCACGACATATTTAAAAATAAGAAAGCATACATTAGTTCTGGGAAGGGAAATTTCACTGCAGTCCAGAGGATCATTTGTTATGAGACCATACTGCCACCAGCTCTTTTATACAAAGTCTCATAAATTTGGAGTTTTTCTTATAGACCTAGCTCTTAGGGTCATATTTTTATCCAAGAATCTCAGCTTTCATTTTTAGGGGGGGAAAGGAAGTTATTGGCCTTCATCGTTGCAGAGGAAAGTTTGAAAAACTCTGCACCCTAAAGACTCAAATAATAGAAGACAAATAAAAAGGGCCCTAAACTTATTATTTATAAAATCTCATGATTTCTAAGCCAATCTCATAATTGTTTGCAGCTTTGTGCATAATTTTTGGATGCTTAGGGTTGGCAATACTGGATCAGTATCCCATTAAATCTTTCCTTAACCCCACTCGAATCAATATGACTTTCCCGCTTTCTAGGTATGTATCAGAAGTTGGTTTAAGGTCATAATAGCTAACGCTAAAGGTGCTGCTAAGTTAAGTTTAAGTTAAGTGTATCTCCTTTGTTGCCTGGTTTGCTATATTGGGGAAACACTTGTTTGGCCTGATGTAACAGTGTTTGTTTCTTGCCTGTTAGGGTGATACTAGAGCTGGTTGGGAATTTTCCCTTGGAATAATTTTGTGACAGAAAAAACATAGTTTGTACGAAACTGAAAATTCCTGCTCCAGCTCCCCAGCAGCCTGACTAGGAGGGTGCAGTGGATCTGGGGCTTCCAGCTCTTGAGTGGTCCACATGACAGGCTGCCATAGAACTGGGGCACCTCAGGCTCCATGGGCAGTCAGCTCCCCAGCTGGCTAGCTCCCTGGGCTGCTTGACTGGCAGCTGAGTGAACTGCCCAGTGCCCCTGGATGTATGACTAGCTTGCCAGCAGTGCAGCCAGGGACCTCACTGGGTAGCCAGGAAGCCAGCAGAAAATGTTAAAAAAATCCCTTTCAAGTTTTCTGGAACAGATTCGTTCAAATGTTGCTGTTCCATGGGAAATTTTGCACTTCTGACTTTTTGTTCCAATTTGGAACTTTTTTTCAGAAATGCAAAATTTCCCATGGGATAGAAATTCAGGATCCTGCCCAGCTCTAGTGAATATACAGCATTCCTCCAGTTGCATTTTGGGTAATATTTTTATCTTTTCAGTTCCTAGAAAAGACAGGACCAGTTCCGAATTGAATGCCACCACCCTCTTGGAGATGCATAAGAAACCAAAAAACTAAATTGGTTTCCAACAATTTTGCAGGGTTGGAAACAACTATAACAGTGAAATACAGCAGCAGGTACAGTTCCACATTTCCCACAGTTAGCCAGAACGTTAATCTATTTTGAATAACAAATCTAGTAAATAATAAAATCTATGAACAACTAAATGGTGTCTATTTCACTGTTACATTTATGCATGAGCTGTAGAAAACAGTTTCACTTGTGCCTAGACTCTCATGGTCTTGATCCTTTTCCCATGTGATGGTGAAGTAGACAACTCTCTCTCCCAGGTGTCTGAGGAGAAAATTGTATGCCTTTAAAGGAAAGCATCCTTCTGGGAGCATTAGCCAGATGGCCTTTACAGTACTTCCCGCCCCCTTTCAACTGTCTCAGCTATAAGTACATAAAACACCTATCTACTAATTGGAAATATAGATTCTGAACTGTTATTAATTCACATATGTATGCACAACTTCCATTTGTTATTTAATCAACAGAGACAGCATGCTCTATTGGAATGAGCACAGGGCTAGGAGTTAGGAAATCCCAATTTCTAATCCTGATTTGTTCTGTAACCCATCGCAAATGGTTTTACCTCTCTCTGCCTCAGATTCTCCAGCCATAAAATGGAAATAATAAAACTTTTCTGACATTCTAAATGCTTTAAGGTCTTCAGATGACAAGTGATATAAGGTGCTATATATCAGAACTGGTCAAAATATTTTGAATTATGAAACTAAAAATGAAAGTGAATTCCCCCCTCTTTTTAAACTGCTCTACTAAACATATTACTAAAGTACTTCAGATAAATAATAAACATGCTAAAATATATAAATATGTTTATCCATCAGCTTATAATAAGTGCTTCAGGCCCCAATTCATAATTACTTTGCCTGTAATTCTTTGGGGGGCAGAGACTGTTTTTTTGTTCTGCATTTGTACAGCACCTAGCACAACAGACTATTGGTCCATGACTGGGTGTCCTAGGCACTAATACAAATAAGAATAATAACTTAAGCACGTGTCTAGCTGTAAGTACATGAGTAATCCTACTGAGGTCAATACGACTGCTCACATGCATAAAGCTGGGCAGCTGCTAACATACTTTGTTAAATCAGGGCCGGAGTGCATTTTGTATGTAAGACTTTTTAAAGTACTATTACGTATTTGCCCTGTTAGCAGGACTCCTTACCAAGCAGGTAATCAGTTTATTGGAGGAAGGAGGGAGAGTTGCAGAGACTATTCCTGAAGGACATGGTTACTTATGGATAGGCTGTGGATCAGTCACTGGGTCAGTAGTTTAGGTGAAGAGAATCAGAGAAGGGGTAGTCCAGGCTAGTGATTTAGGCTAATTTAACGTGTGAGAGTGACACAAATTCAGAACTGCAGCAAACCTGTGGTGGGTTAGTGCTGTGAACTTATGGAGAGGAGGGAGAGTAACAACTGAGTTTTGGTTTTGGGGGGCTATAGAAGGCAGTTCATATTAGGAAATTTTCCAGATCCAAGCTGATGCTGGACTCTAGATTTCCTTTGAAATGTCAGAATACTTTGCAGTCAGGCTGATTCAAGGGATTTTGATAGTAAAACCAGCTGTCTAGTTGCAATGATGTTTTTGTTCCATTGTCAAAAGTTTGAGTTAAATCCATGAGTGTATTAATGAGTGTGGATAGATTGTATGGGTGAGAACGTGGGGTGGATGTGAAAGAAGTGGATGTAGAGAGTATGCGCTTGTACATATATGGTTGGGGGAGGAGTGGGGAGATATGCATGATTCAGTAAGGTGTATATACTGAGAGGGTCAGAATGCATCTCTGTATCTCATGTGTCTTTTTATGTATATATGGGACATGTCTGAGTGTTTCTATTTGTATATGTGTGGCTCATGTATCAAGCTAGTCTGTGTGTATGTGATGGGTCTTCTGGCAGAGGAACTGCAAAATCTGAGGAGGCTGCTTGGGGCGGCACATGCACCGCCTGGTTTGTGAAAAGCTCTGCTCTCTGTGCATCAGTGATCTCAACGGGACAACACAGGTTAGTCCCCTTACTCATGTAAGTGTTTGCAGGATCCGGCCCTAGCACTCTAAGTCACCAGTCTGTGAAGCAATGTGTATAAAAGGAAACTGCCACAAAACAATTGTTTTACTGGAGTGGAAACCAACATCCCCCTTTAAATCAGTTACAGCATCAATTTCTTTTTACATTTTATATTTGAATGTATACTTATACCATTTTATAGCTACATATTTATCTTAATAATACAGATAAAAGCATACTATTCTATTACACCTTACAAAATGATTGAAAACATTTATTGGCTTTTGTTATAAATTCCTTCACATTTTATAAAGGTACTTCTTCAGCGAAACAATTAAGATTTTATAATAGGAGGCAGATTTGATAACAGCAAAAGAAGCATTATAAATTCAGAAGAAGGGGAAAATAGGCTAAACAACTGCCAGCACAAATAAAAGAAAAATCAAAGAGGGTAATAAATAAAAGAGGAATTCAGAGTAATCTGAAAGACAACTGAGAGTGAAACATATTATACCTAGTAGCAGATTTATTTGCCCAATGTACTTGGATTGTAAAGTACTTGGAACAACCCCCATGCATCTCACTGTTTGAACTCTTGAAGTGAAGGCACCATGGTGATTTTATGGTGAGGTTTCGCAATATCTGGTGTTTTACCTATGACCTCAGCTTCTGGAGACAAGTGATTCTATGACCATCTCAGAATTCTCTCCCTCAACTTTCTAGCCCTCATGTTTGAGGAGAAAAGCTTGAATGTGTAACCCAAGTGCGCCCTGCAGGCTCAGAGCTAGAAGGCAAATTAAAATAAATCCCAAATTATTGTTTTGGGTTTTTTTTTTAAACTCTGGTGATTTTTCAAGCCCATCTCATGATTTTTTTGGGGGGGAGGGGGCTGCTTTATGAAGCCTGGCTCCAACGTTTGCTTCACTCTAGGGATCCCCCCTCCTCCTTGCTCCAGCACTGCAGAGGCAGCCCGGAATTCTGCCATTCCCTAACAGTCCTGTGCCCCCGCTGCCCAACACCTGCCCTCCCCAGCAGCCCAGTGCTCCGGGCTCGCGATCGGACTCCTGGCAAGGGACAAGGTAAGGGCAGAGGCTTCACGTTCCCAGCGGGCATGTGCACACACACGCCGCACATGCTCACTGGGGCTGTGTCAGGAGTTTGGAGGGCACATTGGGAAGCCCGGCAGCTCCTGCTCTTACACCGGCTCTGGAGTTCCCAGCCGCGCAGCAGCTGCCCCAGCCTCCCTCCCCTGGCGGGCGGTGCGGGGACAGGGAGCTGAGAGCCCCGGGGCGAGCACCTTCCGCAGCCGGTGGTGAGTGCGACCCCTTCCCCTTCCCCGCCAGTGCGCTCGGGGCACTGGCCCCGGTGGGGACGCAGAGGGGCACCGGGGGGTGCTTTGGACACTGGTCCTTGCCTGCGAGGGGCGGGGAGAAGCGAGGGATGCTTTAGGCACCGGTCCCCACGCCCTTGTCTGGGGAGTGGGGATTTCAGCCGGGCTGCTTCCGAAGAGCTCCAAGTTGAAAGGAAACGTGCAGCCCTTTGCACAGGGTCTGGGCGCTGAGATGAACTACCCGGCTCCTGTCCTCCCCATGCTGCTGCCTTCTGTTTCTTGGTCTTCGGGGGGGCGGGGGGGCAGTGCATCCCCCAGACCAAGTGCCCCTCCACCTGCCCCATCGCAGGGAAGGAAGAGGAAACTGTCACTCACTTGGCCGCTTTGTAATGACACACGCACGTTTTTTTTCCTAGCAGAAGCAGAGCTTGAAAAAAACTCTTTCCCCCACTTTCTAAACTCGGAGACTTTACCGCGGCGTGCCTGGGTCTCTCCAATATTTCTCTCTCCCCTTGCCCACCCCAGCGAGGTGCACAGTGTGTGGAGTGGAGAGCAGGGACTAGGAGGAGAATCGCTGTCATTTTACACTGATTAAGCAGTTTTAAAAAAAATCAAACTCGTTAGCGTTTAAATTATGCTGTGTTTTTTTTTTTTTCCCCCCCCCCCCCCCATTAGTATTGTTTCTGGAGCAATTTGCAAAAGGCGAGGAGGGTGCATTTACTAGCCTGAGTAGGGGGTTTAAACAATGTTGATAAGAGTAGGAGGGAGTTCTTTGTGGGTAAAATCTTCTTTAGTGACACTAGTTAGCTCGTGGGGGTTGAAGCAGGAGAGCGGATTATTGAATTAATTTTAAGCCTCATGCCATTCTGGGTAGGTGACTATTGATTCTGCTTTCTCAGTTTTCTGTTAACACATGGAGTAATTGTTATTTGCTATAAGTCGATGGTGGCATGATTTACCCTAGATGGTAATAGCTTTGAACCATGTGGGAAAAGTGTGTGTGTGTGTGTGTGTGTGTGTGGACAGACAGTAATATACAAAATTTAGTAATATACAAAAATTAGATTTTTCCTTCACTAAAGAGCAATTTGATACATTTTTCATTTCTACTCTAAAGTACAAGTTATTTGTTCATAATAATGGTTAAGACTTGAGGACTTCTATTTATATTTCCACTTGGCCATTTTGTATCCTATAAATTAATTGCATTCTTATTTTGGTTTCATTGGCATACATTTAAAGCAGGGTACTAATAAATTGCCTTGTGTTCGTATTGCTGTAAATACCATAGTTAGGGAGCCTTAAATCTGAAATAAGTTGTTTCTGAGACACTTCACTCTTGCTAAGAAGCAGGCTGAACAGAGACAAGAATATTTAAATAAAGTAATTGAAAAATGAAATCTCACCATGAAATCTGAAGATGTAAAATGTTGGCTTAGGTTTGATGTAGTGAATAGCTTAGTGCCAAAAAAAAGTAACCTTAAAAAATGTCAGAAAACTGCCTTGCGAAAACACTGTCATCAATTCTGCAATGTCTTTTTAAGTGTAGTATTAATATTCATGTTACGTAATAGTTTGACTGGAGCATAAGATTTTAAAGTTTTATAGAATCAATTAAATTAGTTAATGTAGTTTTAAGAAACTCTGTGCAAGTCATTTAACTATTTTAAAACAAGATTATTTACAAACCACAACTGTTTGAGTAACTTAAATATAGATTTAAAATTAGTTAATACAAAATCTTTGTTCACAGTGAACATAGGGGGAAAAATTAAGTATATAAATCACACTAAAGGTAACACTCAAAGTTTATTTAATGTTTTTAATGTTTGAGTCAGAGAATGCCTCTAAAGGAAATTATTTCAGGTATACAACTGCCTTATTTCAAATTTAATCTATTAATGTAATGATACGTTCCTCTTGGATGAAATTTTAATTGTTAAAATACACATGGTTAATCAAACGTTTATTAGTCTACATCCAATTTATTAACAACCGTTTTGTTCAGTTTAGTATCAGGCATGCACATCCCTTAACGCTCCTAATGTAACTGGCAGGAATGGTTTATTGTTTAGATTTCCTTATAGAATTTGCTGGTTTACTGAGAATTTTCCTCCTCTGGCACGCTTTTCATGGAGGATTGTTATTCATAGTTTCCAAATACATCGAGTGCTTCTATTTTCATGTGACATTGCAATTCATATATATTGGAACATTCCTTCATGCTGATCCCAAGAAGATGGCAGATATTTAACCTGTTTGTTTATTTCCAAACTAACATATTAGCTCCTTTCAAGCTGCTTTTAGATTTAAAAACACAGGACAGGCTATCTTGCACCATCAGTTTTTAAAGACAACTCTAGTCATTTCCATTTCTGCTTAAAAACCAATGGCATGACTGGTCTTCTAATATTGTAAACATGAATATGAGAGACTTCATTATGGTTGTCCTACAAAGTTATAAGTATTTATAGCCTTGGATATGTTCCAATATAATCTTTTAAAATTCATAATTAAAATTCACTTGAAGTGGCATATTAAAGCCAATAATGCTGATAATTGTTTTTTTTAAACAAACTAATCTCTCTCCAAAAAACAAAATAGTTAAAAAATACTACCAAATGTGTACTTCATGATTCCATGTTGAGTCATAAAATTAATTAAAATCAAATTGTTAAGGAAAAATCATGTGACATCAAATTTATTTGAATTAACAGCAGGTAATATATCTCTCCATTAAACTTTATCATTTGTTTGTATTCCCCCTCACCACCATTTTGTTTTAAAATATTGCAATGAGACTTGATCCCCGTGACTTGCTAATTATATCATAATTTGGTTAAAATTGTCTAAATGTGCTACTGTTTAAAATATCTCACAACCTTTGCCATTTTAAATTTCATTATAAGAGCTTCGTTTCGGAGGAATAAAATGTTAGTTGTTGTTGGAGAGGGACTCTAAGAATCTATACAAAGCTACAATACGTGTGCAGACACATTACTATTATACAGACATGTTAAACTCAGACATGCACACTGGAAACAAGGGACATTGAGAATATTGTCATTTAGGGCATGCTCAGTGCTATTGCGTTGTGCTTAGATAAGTGATGGACGCTTTAGTTTTTGCTAAAGATTAAATAGTTTAATATAGGTATAATTCCTGCAAACACTGATGGACTTTCTTAACTTTAAGCTTGAGTAGTCCCACTATCATCAATGGGACTACTTGTGCTTAAAATGAAGTATGTGCCTTTGTGTAGGACCTGTGTATGTATTTATAGACAAACGCACTTTCAACAGAGATCTATTAAACAGATTTCCATAATTTTCTGCCGCCTTTTCAGCTATTTGTCATGCAGTAGTACAACAGTTAATCTGAAATTGGTTATAATTCTCTTCAGTGAAATTAGTTTCCTCTCTGCCAAACTTTGCAATAGCCAGATGTTTTTAAGGTGTCTTCAGCTGGAGTAACCAACTAGAACAGCATTGAAGACTAATTAATCTTTGCAGTAAACTCCTTCTGCAGTAAATTCGCAGGTTGTTATACTTAATATGTTGAAATGACTGTTAGGATTTTTTGTGCAGTGAAAAAACATTTAAAAGTTAAGTGAAAATAAAAAGATGTTTTCAAAAATACCTGAAAAATAGTTTGTAATTAATTTTGCCTGAGTGGATTTACTGTTAAGGTCAAATGGTTAAATTAAGTTGCAAATTCAAATTCTGTTAATAGTGTGTACGACCTAATCAAAGAATCTTGTTTTCAAATATGAGAATCAAAAATAAATGTTCCCTGGGGGTCAGGTAGGCTGTGTAGGGAAAACTTGTACTGCCATTGCCTATATTTTGTGGGTAAATGTAGGATGTCAGTCTCTAGGGTTATTAATCTGGTACCTCTCATTAAATTTCATTACAACAAAGACAGGGGAAAAAAATAATAGCAAGGAACATGTGCTAAATATACAGCGTATCTGAAACTAGAACTGTGAAACTAGCATATGTAGACCATAAACAAATTAGTTGCAGAATCACTATTCAGCGTTTTGACTTAAAATGTGTTTTTAAAAAAGTAGTGATTGAGCTAGTTCAACAAATCTCTTCACATACTGCCCATCCTAGTAAGAATAGGATTTAGAGCTAAGCAAACCCTGAACAGTTAACAAAAAAAATCCCCTTTTCTCCTCCTCCTCCATAATGACAGAAAGACCATCCTTATTAGATGCTTTTTGTTTGTTACAGTTATTGGCTGAAAGGTCCAATCAGAAAACAATTGGTGATGGCAACTTAACGCAGTTAAGATCTATAAATAAAGATGATGATGCATTGTTTTAACTTGTGTAATGGTGTTTAACAAACACCCTGTTTTAATCAGGTGAGGATAAACCCCTCAGTTAGGTGGCAAATAACTGCAGCTTGGTGACAAGAGTGTGTCACTCGGGGCTCAGAGCGGCTGCCGCTTGTCAGAGGACCTGATGGCGCTGTGGTTTGTGAAAGGAAAAAGGGAAATTTTCCTTCATCTGGTTGCAAAATAATTTATTTTGTGCTGATTAGACCTAAGGTTAATAAGAAAGGCCTGATTCTCCTCTCTGATAGGCTGTTGTAAATTCAGGAGTAATTCTACTGAAATTACACTGATGTAAAAGCAGAGTGAGAGAAGAATCAGAGCTAAAATATTATGGCAGAGGAGTCTATCTGCTGCCACACATACTGCATCTTCTTTCATTTTAAATAATCAGACCTCTGATTCATCCACTATATTATACTCTGGCTTTAGTTATGTATCTTTATGCCTTATTTAAAAATACTCGGCTTAATGCTGTATCAATTAAAGGGGAAAAAACCCCTACAGGATTATCACCCTTTGCATCTAAATGATCTAATGTGTAACTGCTTAACTCCTAGTACTGAGAGCCGTTAAATAAACTTGTTTATATGCTACTATGTTACTGAGTCATACTGTACAGTATATGGTTTGTTAGCACA